AGAAGGGAGTTCCCCAGCCTGTAGGTGTGCTGCTGGTTCTTCCTCCCCAGGTGCAGCACCTTGCACTTGTCAGTGTTGAAACCCATCCTGTTCTCATCTGCCCACCCCTGTAACCTGTCTAGGTCTGATTGCAACCTATTCCTCCCTTCTAGCATGCCCACATCCCCCCACATCTTACTGTCATCAGCAAATTTGAATAGGGTGCTTTTTACCCCCTCGTCCAAGTCACTGATGAAGATGTTGAACAGTGCTGGTCCGAGGACCGAGCCCTGGGGGACCCCACTGCCCATATCCCTCCAGGTCGAAAATGACCCATCCACCACCACTCTTTGGGTGCGGCCCTCCAGCCAGTTAGTGACCCATTTGACTGTGTAGTTGTCGACCCCACAGTCCCCTAGTTTTTTAATGAGAATGGGGTGAGAGAGTGTAGAAGGCCTTCCTGAAGTCTAGAAAGACTATGTCCACTGCTACCCCTGCGTCTAAGGATTTTGTGACCTGATAAAGGATCGATAAAGTGCTTTAACAAAAAGTGCTTTAGGTTAGTACACATCCATCCAGGGTTAATTTAGAGCATGACTCACCATTTTTTTAAGTGCTCTAAGAGCCATGAATATCTGTTCAGTTATGACTTTAGAGTGTTTCCTGCCTGCTTAATGCCCAATATGTATAACCTCTGTACCTTGCCTTGGTTTCAGCATGTCTCTTCTAGTATGTTCACATATGATGACTGGGCCTGATCTTTCTTTGGAAGGGATTTTTTTTTTCATACAGCAAAATTGGCAAATGCCTATGTGGATTTTCCACTTCCCATCTGATTTTATCTGTTTTGGGAAGTAAAATTTTATTCATCACAGTTTTGTCTAGTTTCCATTGCATTTTTATGTTAACTCCCATTTTAATCTCAAAGGGATCTGTGTTATATCCATTTCTGAGAACCACCTCTTGCATACCATCAAGGAGCAGGCAGAGAATGGTGACAAATTTCGGTGGGTATCTATACTTCAGAACGATCCTCCACAGCATTTCTCAGCTGGCAAGTTGTGCAGATCATGTCAGTTGTGCCTCTTGATGCCCTAAACCCACTCTGAGATTCTGGGAGGAGCTCTTCAGCAAGTGGAAGAAGATGGTTCAGGAGGGTTCTCACAATGATATTTCCTGAGGTAGACAGCAAGGTGATCCCTCTGTAGCTTTCACAGTCAGATTTGTGTCCTTTCTTGAAGATTGTCACAATAAAGGTGTCCCTGAGCTCATCTGAGATTACCTCATCATTCCAAATCTTTAAGACAAGGGCATGAAGCTGTAATGTGAGCTCCTCTTCTCCCTGTTTGAATATTTCAGCAGGGATTCCATCTGCTTCAGATGCCTTGTCATTCTTCATCTGCTTGATGGCTTTCTTCTCCTTGTCAAGTGTTGGAGGGATTCTGAGATAATCTCTGATTGAGTGTTGTGGGATGGAGTTGAGAACACGCTCATAAACAGCAGAGTCTCAATTAAGAAGATCTTCAAAATGCTCCTTCCAACAGACATTGATGTGTCTCCTTTCTTTGATCATATCCCCTCCATCCTTAGTTCTCAAGGGGGTTGATCCCTGAGTGCTCAGATCATATACAGCTTTGGTGGCCCTGAAGAAACCATGAATATTGTGGATGTCAGTGAGATGTCGAATCTTCTTAGTTTTGTCTTTCCACCATTTATTTTTCATATTGTGGGTTCTCCTTTGGACCTTTGCTTTGGCTTGTTGGAGATTTAGCATCTTTTGCTTGGAGTTGGAGTCATGGGCGACTGGGCGACTGGCATTGCCTTAGTCAGGGGGGGCATGTGGCCCCCCTATGACCAGACCTGTCAACTGGAGGGGAGGTTCCTTTGCTGGCGATCCTGAAATCTGTTGGGGGGGGTGTCCGCCATGGGCAATCCTGCAGACTGGGGGGATTCCCCCGCAGATGATTCTGCAAGCCAACTGGATGGGGGGGTCCCCCATGGGAAATCCTATGGTTCAGGAAAAGGGGTCCCCCATGGGCGATTGTGTGGACTGAGGGGGGTCTCCTGGGTGATTCCATGATGGCCAATTGCTGCGGCTGATCACTGCACTCATTGCAGCCACTTCTGGGAGTGGCATGATCGGCTGGGGGGATTTGGGGGGGGACACAACACTCCGGGGCAGCACAAGCATTCCCACCTGCCCCCCCCGCCCATCGCCTAAGTGGCAAGCATAGCCATCAAGGGGTGCACTGGCACTCTCAGAAGGTTCATGTGCACCCCCATGCACCCCGTATGCATCACCACTGGTTGGTGTCATTTTCCAAAGCACAAAAGGCCTTACACTTGCAATTGATGAACCTTCATTAAAGGTCATTCCACTATCCACCACCTGTGGATGCACTGGGTAGCAGCACAGCTCTGCCCTACAGAGTTGTAATACATAATACAGATAAAAGCATGGCTATGTGTAAAGCAGTTATTTAAATGTAGTGAGATCCA